GCCACACCCACCTTCTCTCGAATATCTTCATTCCTAATCTTATCCATCCTTGTATGCCCGCAATAAGAATATATATTAGATTAAAAAAATAGCAAAATTACGTTAAATTATTAGAAATGAAAAGAAAAGACTAATTGAATTTGAGATTAGAATGTTCTGAACAATATGATGCAAATTTTCAAATTATGGATAATACCATGAAATTGAAGTCTTATTTATGAAAAATAAAATAATAATAATAAAAAAAATTTTAAATTACAAAATAAATTTCTAATATAGGTAATTTTACAAAAATTAAATTTGTATATTACAACTAAAAAAGAAAGAAAAATTATTTAAAGAAATTAAATGAGAGTGAAAATATTACTACAACATTTAGATTTAATATGTTTAAACAATTATGAATTTATTTTAATATGATTAATATCTGAATACAGTGCAGTTAGTTTGAGCTTGAACGCATAGCATAATTTTTTGAAAATGCGGTCCAGTTTAAAAAATTAAATGATAAGAATTATTTGAATTTAAGATGAGATTTTTTTGTTTTTGAAAATATTACGTAAATAAATAAAATCACATTAAAAATATTATTACAATATTTAGAAATAATGTGTTAAAAAAATTAAGAATTTTTTTATATGATTAAATAAAATTTTAAAAATATAAAATAAATTTCTAATATTGGTAATCTTACTAATGAAAATTAAAAATTGAATTGTATCTTATAGCTAAAAAGAAATAAAATGTAACTGCATCTAATACAAAATTAATTATAAGAGAACTCAATACATTTGGAACATGATAATCAAATAACTTACATATTAATATTTTATACTAATTAAAAGTTACAATTTAAAACAAAACATGACATTATTTTGGTTATAGGTAAAACATTAATATATAACTAATTAAAATTTATTGTAGGGAAGAGAACGTATATAAAAAAATGGAGGTAGTGAGAGGATACTTATACTTTAAATTAATTTAAAAATAGATAAAATAAAATAATGAAATTATCTTTAAAAATATTACTGATAAATTTAAATGATTAAAATATTATGAATAAGAGGATAAAAACATAAAAATATATCAAATTTCAAGAATAAAACATTTATTTTTATTAAATACTATTAACAGGATAATAAGCAAGACATTAATTTAATTATAAGCTAATAAAAAATTATATGATAGTATAATAATATTAAATATTAAATAATACAATAACTACAAGAAAAGAACAAAAAAAAAGAAGAATTTACGTAAAAATAATGTGATGAATAAGTCATATTTGACTTCCAGATAAAAATAAAGCGATAGTAAGAATTTTATTAAAATAATATGATCTAATGTACTCGAACAAGATAGATCACCATATGACATGTTTAGTATTCATTAATATCGATAGCGGAACGAAATGCAAGTACCAAAATCAAGGGGTTAGGTTGCTACAAATATATATTAAAAAGATTGGTTGCTCACTACGAGATTTGAACAATAATTTCATATCCGGCTTCATAATTAAATTCTCATGTTATATAATTTTTATCTGAGAGGTTTATATTTTAAGGTTATTTGTATATGATTCAAACAACCTACATCGCAATTTGAAATGATTTGTCCGCGCATAGCGCGAGTACTAATACTAGTAAAAAATAATAAGTGAGTAGGCTAGAATTCCTATTAGTTTCAGGGGGATAAAAATACATAAGAAACTGAAATAACTTTAATTTCTTATTTTAAATTTTTATTTACTATAAACAATGGTAAAATTGTAAACTTCTCTGATATAATGCAATTATGTATCTCATTTTTAAATGCGCGCGAATATAACTGGTATAATAGAGTGCGATTAATAAGTCGCATTGCTGGAATGCGTTTTATAAGTCACACTTGTCGAATGCGATTATAAGTCGCGCTAAATCAGACTTATTAGGGCAGATGATTAAATCCAACGTTCCCCATAAAACTTTCTAGGGTTTAGGTATATAAGGGCGCCGACAACGTTCTGTAACTAGATCAGAACCAATTCTTTGAACGAACTTTCTTTCTTTCAAAGCATCTCCAGTGTTCTTAATGGACGAACAGAATGGGATTACTTTAAATGGTGTTAATATTAAGTTGGAGGAAGAAGAAACTAATGACCTAAGAACATCTCCTGACCATCAAAACGACGACGTCGGCGCCTCTCAACCTCATACTGGAGATGGTGCTAGTCCTGGGTATTTTACTGCTTTCTCCTTTCCCCTCTCCCTCTCTTTGTGTGTGTGAGTGTGTGAATATCGCTCGATTCTGTTATTCTGTTACATTTTCCTTTTATCCAAAACCATGCTGAATTTTTTTGCTTGGTATTAGGACTGACCTCTAGTTATGTAGTTACACAGGTGAATTTACCTCTGTTGTTAAATGGGACACGGTTAGTTCCTGAAGCTGGGAACTTTGCGTGCCTTAATCTGAAAAGGGCGGGCAGAGAACAGAGAATATAGTTGGTAAAGTGATGTATTAATTGTTAAGGAAACACAATGAACGGATATGTGGATGGTTAGGATTTGAGTTTGAAGTTAAGTATGATAAATTAGTCATTAGATTTGAATTAGAAACTTAAAATTTCATTTTGCGTATGAAACATATATTTGAGATGGGTTTTGAATTTGATTGACATGATATTTACTACCTATATTTTGCTTAATTTGATTTATTTTCCAATTTCTTTGACTGCTTAATTGTTTTTTGTGTTATTTTCTTTATTGCATTGCATGTATATTTATTTTTCTTCATTTACTCTCTGCTTGGGTACACTTTTCAACTTTGACAACACTGTAATTTACTGTCAGAGAGAGAGTTGTGTATACATCTTTTGGTTTACTTCTGTTCTGATTTGTATTGGATGATATTTTAACTTAGCACCAATCTTTTCTGCATTGTTTTTTTTCTATATGGGGTTGTTCTTGTAGGTGTTACTTAGTTGTTGGTTTGGCCTAACTCATTGTTTTGGCTGGAAGTTATCTTTTTAATCAAGTTGCACATGTATATTTATTATCTTTTTCTTCTCTGCCGCTTGTCTACGTGTTTATCTTTGTCAACACTATAGTCTACTGTCAGCAAGAGTTTCAGTGTATGTCTTTTAGATTTTCTTTTATTCTGATTATTATTCGACAAAATCTTAACGTAGCAGCTGTCTGTTGTGCCTTTCTGAACTCCTTCGTATGCGTGGTCCTTCTCACATAGTAATTACCTATTTGTTGGTTTGGAATCACTGTTTTGATTGAATGTTCTTATTAATCAATTTGCTCATGTATTTATTCTATTAATCAATTTACTTGGTGGCCATGCAGAAAGATATTTATTGGGGGCTTGGCTAGAGAAACAACTTCAGGTTTGTTGCCTTTTCATCCTTGTTTTGCTCTCCTGCTAAACTAGTTTTCTTTAACTCGCTTTCATGCCTCTAATGTTACATGTATATCTGCAGCTCAATTTGTCAAGCACTTTGGTAAATATGGTGAGATTATTGATTCCGTGATTATGAAGGACAGACGAACAGGGCAGCCACGCGGGTTTGGTTTTGTGACTTATTTGGACCCGTCTGTTGTGGACAAAGTCATTGAGGAAGACCACATTATAAATGGAAAACAAGTAAGGTTATATTTTTTGGGGGGTGTTTTCATGTGAATACCAGTGTTTTAATAAATTGTCGTTCTTATAATTACTAGTTTGCACTTTCATTTGCCTTTTATTTTCTTTTGGATGGAAAAATTGGGTCCTCATGCTGATATTTTGATGTGTCAGGTGGAAATCAAGCGAACTATACCTAGAGGAGGAGGTTCCAGCTCCAAAGATTTCAAGACGAAGAAGATTTTTGTGGGCGGCATCCCAACAACAGTTAGTGAAGGTTATTTTTCTGTAGCTTGAAACTTATTCCCTTTCCTTACTAGTTGGATTCTTCTGAAACAAGTCTTTGAGGTATTACTTGCATTTTATATTTCAGATGAGTTCAAAGACTTCTTTTTAAAGTTCGGAGAGGTGAACGAGCACCAGATCATGCGTGACCATTCTACTGGTCGTTCTCGTGGCTTTGGATTCATTACTTTTGACTCAGAAAAATCTGTTGAGGATATCTTGGCTAATGGAAACAGGCTTGATTTTGCTGGAACCCAGGTCAGTATAGTCGTAGTGTGCTTTAATTAGTCTGTGACACTTTTTTCTAGATTGTTTCGGTGAACTTGTAAAATATAAGCAACAACCACAACAACAATAAACCCAGTGAAATCCCACAAGTAGGGTCTGGGGAGGGTAGTATGGGGAGGGTAGTGTGTACGCAAACCTTACCCCTACCTTACGAAGGTAGAGAGGCTGTTTCCGGAAGACCCTCAGCTCAAGAACAATAAAATATAAAGCATTTCTCTTTATCTTCTTTGGACATGATTTTGTTGCCAATGTTGCACTCTTGAATATATATTCTTATTATGTTTTTTATTTATGTTCTGGGCCTTCTGGCAAATGTCCTTAAATTGAATGGGATATTGGGCTTATGTTCTTTCTTCTTTTTTCTTGAAAAGAATGAGTGAATGAATAGAGAAGCAGAATTTGCCGTGCATCTTGTGCGTGCTTCGTAAGTTCTACGTCTTGACAAAATGTTGGGAGGTCATATAGTTTCCGTCTTTCCGAAACTGAGTGTTTATGTATTGGACTGTATAATATACTTATGTTCATTGTGCCACATACTTTTATATCTTCTGTCAAGCTTATCATCGAGTGAGAATGCTCAAGTTGCCTCAATTGCTATCCTTTTTTTCTAATTTGGCTAATAGGTGGAGATCAAGAAGGCTGAGCCGAAGAGACCTAATGCACCACTGCCAGCTCCATCCAAGCGCCAAGGTCATCCGAGAGCTTCATTTGGTGGTGGATTTTCAGATGCTTATGGTGGTTATGGAGACTCTGGCTTTGGTGCTGGTGGTCCTTATAGGTCCGGTGGCCCCTATGGTGGTAGATCCAGTGCATTTGGTGGATATAGTGGAGCGGGAATGGGTGGATATGGAGCATATGGTGGCAGTGGTGCCTATGGAGGCTTTAGGGAGGAGGCTTCTTTTGGGTATTCTAGCCGTTATGGTGGAGCTTTTGGTAGAGGTTATGATGTTGGTGGTGGCTATGGGGGACCTAGTGAAGGTTATGGAGGATATGCTGCCGGTGGCGGTGGATATGGCAGTGGATATGGTGCTGGTCTTGGCGGTGGTTATGGAGGAGGAGATGGTACTGGAGGTTCAATGTATGGAAGTAGTAGGGGAAGCTATGGTGGTGCTGGTTCCGGCAGATATCACCCATATGGGAGATAGAGAACGAAATGTTGAAAGGAGCAAAGCTGAATTTGTCTTTGGCATGGTGATTTTAAGCTTATGCCCAAAGATATACACACACAATCAGGCAGTTGTTGAGAGCTAAAACTTGTCTTTTCAATTTTTAAAATGATAAATCTTAAGTTCTGATGATCACTTGATCTACTTAGCTCAATTTATAATTTCTTTTCCTTTGATATCGATTGGTTTATCAAGGAACATTATGCAACCATCATCAGCTATCTACAACCCTTAAAGCAATGGAAGTGTTGAAATTCCATAGCATAGGTTCTATAGCATCTATGCAAAAATTACTTTTCATTTTGTCAAATTTCTGCCTCTTTCCTTATATTGATTTTATTCTGGTTCGAAATTTGCTGGTTAGACAAGGTATATTATGCTTTGATGGATTGTAGTGACAATGCCAAAATTAGCCAATCATGAGTTTACATTCTATTCTGGTGTATTTCTTTTTGTTTGTACGTCTTGGAGAAGAAATTGTCAAGGATTTATTGTATACTTCGATAATGTCAAATTTAGTCTGTTGCAGCAGATAATTTGATGTAATTATTTAATTATTATAGTGTAGAAGAATTTTATATTGTTGTTTTTTAAAAAAGCTAGCGTGATAAATTCATAGACACAAGTTTTTAGCTTGATGTATTGTTGTCGTATCGTTAAGTTGCGATATTTTCAACTGTTCGCAATAACAAAAATCTTTCTACTTATTGGGTCTGTGGAACAGGAGACACAAATGAAGAGTAGACGTGACAAAAGGATAAAAAAGGGAGTAAATCTGTAGCCACACAATTGTGACAAACAAGTTTTGAAAAATATTTTTGACTGGTGAAACTAATTATAAAAGGTTTATGTAATGTACAAATTTATTATACCATCAGATAATTCCTCATAGTAAATCTAATAATATCACTTGAATTCCAAGGTAATAATATACTATAATCGGTTAAATTTAGTTGCAGTATCATATATTTTTATATACAAACAGGTATTTAAATATATTAGTAGGCGTTTGGGCATAAAAACTATGAAATTTTGAAAAAAAGTGAAAAAAATTCAAGTTGAAAATGATATTTAATTAGAGTTGTGGCTGGACATGAATACAATTTGGAGCTATTTTTGATTTTTTGTGAGTGTTTTGAAGTGAATTTTGAAAAACAGCTTTTTGAAATTTTTAAAATTTCGAAAAAAATCCAAAATTAAACTTCAAATGAATTTCAAAATTTTAAAATTAAACTTCGAAAAAAAAGGAATTTTTTAATGGCGAAATGGGTATTTAGAATTACAATAGACTTAACCAAAAAAAAAAAAAAAAAAAAAC